GTACAGCCTTCTAGAAGACAGTAGTGGAGTGGTAACCATCCCCAAAAAGGCACCTTAGGTTTTGACCCAGAACCATTTATGAAGAAAGGGGTTTCACCTCAAGGCTTCAACGCTGGGGTCCAGACTAGGTCTCCCTCGGCACTGCGTGCACCGCCTGCGCTGACCAGTGGCAGCAGGCTTTGCACCTCTACGCTTCGGCGGGTGAAGGCGCGTAGAGTGGAGTCGATTGAAAACTCAGTTTTTGTTTTAGTGTTTTTGCTTGCCTGCTTTTGTTTGGGCCGAGCCTTTCAGTGTTTGCGGTGCTTTATAGTGTGTTCTTCGTGTTTGTGTGGTTTTGGTTTGGCGCCGCGGGGGGGGGGGGTTCTTCCGTGTTCGCGACAAGCTCTCCCTCCAAAGACTCTAAATCCGTTCTAGAGTTGAGCTTTCGCATTTGTGGGACAAGTTCTCGCAAGGCGTTTTGGTCTGTGTGGTGTTTCCTCATGTTTAACTAGTTTTGCAACAGCATTTTGGCGTGCTCGCTTATTGTTTGGGATCTGGGCTTGTACATGGGAAGGAACTGACCATTTGAGGAGCGGCCCATGCCAATATTGCAGTTGGACTCTTCCAAACTCCCGGTTTGATCTGTTTTACCCACAGTCACAGGGCTCACTTGTCCAAAACGAATCGACCTGAAGTGACCTTTTGGGTTTCCCCTTTTGGTCCGAGCATGTCAAGATTCCCAGGTCCTTTGCACCGTCTTTAAAGAATGGATCGCCCTCAAAGGGTTTCTGGTCGTGAAAGGCGGCGGCTCTCGTAAACCATGTTCTGTTGTTGCAGGGCGAATTTCTGGGCCTAAGTGGGGGATGGCGTAGGACACCAGGCAGGGGGAGCCTTTCTTATTTTTGGGGCTGTTGTGAAGCCTACCCATTTGGCCCATTCGTGGAATGAGTTGGAATGACCCCGAACTGAACCATCCCTTGTGGTTTCCTTTAAATGTACCACTGGGGTCATTGCCAACCCCCTTGTTGATTCCCTACAGAGAACCAACAAATTGTGCCGAATTTCAATCGGCTTGAACTCGTTGGTTGCCACCCAGAGGCTCCTGTGCTGGGGCTTTCAATGGAAGACCCGACCCCTCCATTAGACACCCAGGAGGTGGTTGGGGGTCTCAAAACCAGGTTGGTTTGAAGGCCCTAAATCAAGCGAACACCTCTGGGCAGTGAGAGACCATCCCCAAGTTGGTCCCGTTTCGATTTGGCCGGTGTTGCCCTTGGCGGATCTTTGCGAGGTTGCTGTGAAATATCCCTTTCGAAGGGGTGCGTCCTCTCTTGAAAATGCCCTGTTTGGGTTGTTTTTGAAAGGGGCAGGGCTGTCGGTGTGACGGGCCTATGCTCAGCACGTGTGATTGAAAGGCTACAATCTCGCCTGTTTCCTCTCATACTGCCACTGGGCTCTCCGCGTTGACACTCCAACACCCATGACATATGCCCCGTAGCTCAAAAGACACAAACAGATGACCTAAACCCACCGCGCTCGCCTGTGTTGGGCCGTGCCTCAAAAAACCATAGCGAAACAGCCCATGACCTGCGTCCAGAAAATATAACTTAGCATATCCCCTACATTCCTCCGAAACCCCTCCCCGACGACCTGCATGCATCCAAAATACACGGCAGAGCCCACAACATGACACCTCCAAAGCACAACCCTCCAAACCCGTAACATAGATAAGTGGAGGGCGGGCCGGGGCAGAGGGCGTCGGAGGTTATGACTCCCATGACGTCCGTTTGTTTTCAGTGCCGGGGCGTCTTCAAACCGGGCGGGCTCGTGGGCACGGCCAGAGTGCCAGAGTGACAACTCCCCCTCCGCTTGTCGCCTCCGGACTTTTCGATGGGTAGCTTCAAGGTCCCGGGGCCAGCTTCAGAGCTCCAAGTCTCCAAGCTGCCCTCGGGCCCTCCCAGGCCCTCCAAGGCCCGAGGGGGCTTGGCCCCCGGGTCCAGGACAAAAAAAGCCCCAGGCCCCGGCCTCTCGGGCCCTCAGCTTCCAGTTTCGGCTCCAGCTTCTCAAGCCCCTCCGCGCCCAGAGCTCAAGAGCAGTCCCTTCTTTCTTTTCCGCCCTGAGATGACATGAGCCATGACCATGGCTAGGCGAAGGTGTGACCTACACGAGACCCGCCCGCCCGGCCTTAACAACGGATGACTTGCAGACCTCCCGAAGCCCTCGGCATGAAACCTCGACACCTGCAACGCCCATCACGTATGACTCCAAAGCCCCTAACATGTCACCAACGCACCCACGGCATACGACCTACACACCTCCAAAACTCATGACGCATGAGCTGCACACCTCCAAAAACCCTAACACTTGACTTACATGGCTCCAAAACCCCACCACATGAAATGCAAGCCGATAAGCTACGACCTGCGCGGAGACGCACGTCATAGACGCCAAAGGGAAGCGCCCAGCTTGGTTATGCCCGGCCCCGAGGGACATTTCCGCATATCCCCAAGTTTACCCTCCCCCCCCCCCCCCGACCCCCCAAACACACAGACACACAGACACACATACACACAAGCGGGGGGGAAGATTAAAGTTGACCAACACTGTGGTAGGTGTGTTTGGCTTGTGGTAGAAACGGTTTTATGACCTTCCGCCAGTCCACTTTTCAACAAGATGTACCCCGATTTGTCCAACGCCATACCTCCCACCAACATGGAAGTGCAAAAAGGCGCTTTCCAAGAGGAGTCTGTCGTCTTGCAGGGATCTGCGCACTTCCATGTTAGCTGGTAGGAGGGTACCTCCCAAGCTCCAACACCTCATACATGGTTGTTGTTGGGCACCATTTGGCTGTGGCTCAAAATTAAACACGAGGGGTTACGCGGGTTTTGGTCCATGTTGCCACTTACCAGGGTTCCATTTTGGTACCGGTTTTTTGAGCCACTGCCATTTTACATGGTTGCTTATTGTGGTTTAGTGGATGACATCCAACCACTTGACTGCTTTTGTTTTTTTTGCTCCCCGTCGAACGTGAACCAAGCATACGCCCGAAGCTGCCGAAGCCCTCTGTGAGACCTGGACGTCCCCGAGCTCCCAGTCCGTCCGAGGCACGTCGGAGTTCCTGGTGACTGCAGCCGCGCTGGCCTGTGCCAAAGCCCAGAAGTGGCAGCAGGTGCTGGTCCTCTTTGAGGCCCTGCCGAAGGACATCTCGGGGGCAGAGGTCACTAGTTTCACGGTTTCTGGGTTTCCAAGGTTCGCATGGGTTTCCTGCGAGTTGCCTGCGGGTTTCCACGGGTTTCCTGCAGGTTTGTCTTTTTGAGGTTATCAAAGTCAGAAAATGGTTGGTTGTTTCCCTTCCACCCACGAAGGGGTGACTTTGACGATGGTAGAATACTGAGGCTAGTGGGGGCATCTGGGGTTTTGGGGGTTTTGGAGGGGGATTGCAACTTTGGACGTTTGGCTTCTGGTGGTGTATGCGCTGGTGTTTGGAGGGATGGCAACTTTTGGGCTCTGGAGGTGAATCATTTGGGTTTGGTTTTCGGAGGGTGCAACTTTGGGTTCTGGTGGTGCATACCCTGGTAGGGGTTGGTAGATGGAAACCAACGAGGATATTTTGTTTTTGGCGGTTTTCGGCTTTGTACTTTGTGTCCTGGAGGGTACCTAGTACCCAGCTTCTTCTTCTTTTTTTGTGGAGGCTACGTTTTGTGGGAAATCGAGGAGACATACCATTGCTCTGAGAGGTTTTTACGGCCGCCCTGAAAGCGCGCGTGAGTTCTTTGCAGAGGGAAAGGGACAAGGAAACTCAGCGGTCACGGGACAGGAAGGGCACGAGGTCAGTGGGGGGTTTCGGCACGATTTCTCGGGTGTTTCCCTTCAAGGAAGCCCGCAGAGATGTTTGGTTTCCATAAGCGAAACTCAATCTAGCCGCATTCTCCCCATTCAGTTTTGAGATGTTTCCTTTCAAATGTGAGGAGCACGGAGGAAGAGAATGGGGAATCAGCAGGGCAAAGTGTGTTTGAACAGCCCCTGGTTCCCTTACGGGTCTTAAACTCAGGGTAGACTAAATGTGGAACAGAGTCAGACAACAGTCGGTGTCCACTGGTTTAGATTGATTTCAGGGAAACCCATCTATTTTAACAAAAGGACACCTAGTAAGAGATAGCTCCCCTTTTTGATGTTTTTTTTTTCCCCCCGCGTTTTTGGGCTCATGATTGTTTTCCACGACATGTCCTCAGGGTTCCACTTGTTGACTACCTGCAAATAGACTTAAACCCGGGGGTGGGTCATGTACCCCAAAAAGGGTTTAAGTCTATTTGCAGGTACTCAAACAGGGCTCCTATTAAAAGATCTCCATTTTGCCCAATTGGAACACTGCTCTTTCCACCAAAAGAAAAAGGGAGCCCACCATTTACATGTTACAATGTTCAGGTGTATAATGCATTCGGATCCCTGTCGAACAATAGAACCCGACGTGGCAGGAGTCGCGGTTGGGGGTGGAGCTGTACACCGCAGCCATCGATGCCTATGGGAAGCTTGGCTCAGCTGGCGCTTCTGGCGTTTCGCGCGGCCCCAAGTGCCAGGGCACTTTTTTTCCACAAGCCCCGGTTTCAGGATGTTAGTTCGGGTTCCCAATTCAGAGATGGTTTAGGCGAACATACCACAAATTGGCAAGAAAGGCATTTGGCTCTCCCGGTTGCGGACAGATGCAAGCGATGACTTGTTGACGACATCGAGCAGAAGTTATCAAGCCTTTGTCTCAAAGAGCATAGCCAAGCAGCGTGCACCGCTTCAGTTTCTGGCAATCTCTAGCAAACGCAGGGGAGTGGCCGCCGGCCTGTTCCAGACTGTCTCAGGCTTTGCTTGACCCATTGGGGAGGGTACCCCTTTCTTGTGAATTTGCAGGGAGACCGAAGGGAAAACAGCAAACAAATGTGGGTCCCCTATTTTTCAGCACACCCGATTCAGAGCACGATCAAGGCTGCCTGAATTTTGAAAGCCACTGGCAAAGATGGCAGCTGTCAGGATCG